CCTTGAAAGCATATAATTTTTAGCCGTTGCTAGACCTAATATGCCTAGAAAAAAGAGGGAATATCCAATGTATTCTATACTTTTTGAAATTCTTCAAGATAGCTAATTTACACTTCATCTATATGTTCCTGTATATCAGATGCCATGGAAACGAATAAGGAATTATTCATAATGATAGTTTTAGCACAGGTGGATAAAACACCCCTGTATTTCAACTACACTAGTAATGAACTTTCAACGCACAGCCAAGGTTCGTGATTTCATTATCCTGCCACTTACACTTCCCTCAGACTTGCGTTATCATATAAACTGTCTGCCATCTGAGTTATGACAGTCAGTTGTTGACTTCAACAATGTTTTGTTTACTTCGCTGAAAGACTTGTACGTCAAACACGTTTTTCGATAATGCTAGTAAGTCTTCCGACTTCCTTCTGAAAATATTGCTATCCTCTTCAGCTTTTGCAAGGCGACCTATTTATAAACTACACCATTAAGCATTATGAAAACTAAACTTCTAAATGAATAGTCTGAAATTATCAAAAAATTGCAGATGTATTAGAATATTTAACAGCTAAACTCATTCGTCAGTTAGATATAGTGTTTGTAGTGTCACTGTGTTTTAAGTGGAAGTGTACATAGAATAAATATGAACAAAACTGAATTCTGAGCTGACATTCTTTAAAGTAAACAGTTGGGAAGCAAAAACATGAAAAGTATTCAACTCTTCGTAAGATCCTACCCACTGTAAAATTTTAAAAGTAACTCAAGTTTACAAAACTAGCTAATGAACCCTTATATTTGAATGTGATCCAGTGTCTGAGGATTTTTATTCTGAAAGGAGTAAGTAACGATGGATCTAAGCGTAACGACTTAATTTTTACAATGTAGCAAAGATATGGTGATTAGCGTATTTATCGTGCAATGATATTTAGCTGTATGTCGACCTACACATTACACCAATAAGTTTGCTTGTTCAAGCAGTCTTATTGAATTACTTATGAGTCAATCAAAAATATAGCACGTATCATAAAACGCACTGAAAGAAAGTACCTGTCGTTTAATATTTATTATTATTATTATTGTATCCTTTAGTTCCTAGAGGAACATAGGGCTTCAGCCACGCGTCTCCATTGCCTTCGGTTTTCTGACAACTTTTTCACCCTGCTCCAGGTATGTCCACATGCTTTCATCTCCTCCTCGCATGACCTCCTCCAAGTCACCCTTGGACGACCAACTCGCCGCCTCCCTTTCGGGTTCCACTCGAAGGCTTGTCTAGTGATGTCACTTGATGGTTTCCTCAGCGTATGGCCAGCCAATCCATCTCCATTTCTTTCTGCCTATTTGTTTCTCAATCGGTTGGTTCGCTCCCAGAGATCCCTGTTGCTGATCTTTTCTGGCCGGCCATCTGATCTTGAGTGGTATTGAGCGAAGACAACTGTTAATGAAGGTCTGAAGTTTGTTTGAGATGCTGTTTATGACGCGCAGTGCAAGTCTCTGATCCGCATAGAAAGTAGCACTGACTGACTTCACATTGGAGTTGAAAATCCGGATCTTATTTTTGATGGTGAGTGCTGTTGACCTCCACACAGACTTGGTGAGAGTAATGAAAGCTTGTCTTACTTTTCCGATTCTGGCTTTGATGTCCTCGTCAGTTCCGCCTGTAGTTGAGACGATGCTTCCCAGGTAGGTGAAGGAGGTTGTTTCTTTCAGGTTCTTCCCACTTATGCTGATTGTTGTCTGTTGTTGTTGTTGCTGTTGATTTTGGCTATTATTATTTATTATTTTTATTTTTGATTCCAGCTTGATTCCACACTGTATTTTTGGCACAAGTATGAAATTTTCAGCATGTCATATCGGTAGCCCAAATTTTGCAGACCGACCATAGATATCAGTTGTGCGTAGGCAGGGGATCGAACCTCGGACCATTTGCATGGTCGGCGAGAGTCCTAACCACTGTGCCCCCGATGCACGTAGGTACAAATAAAAATATTCAAATTTATTACAAGAATTAGTTATTTAAGCCCTTTGTGGAGAATCGATTGGTCCGAAAATAGTTACAGTCGTAAATAGGTAAAAACAAGTGAAACAATGGTAACTAGAAAGAAATAAACGTGAACTACTGGACTTCAAGCTATCGACTGAATGTCTGTCAGTGTACTCAACAAATGAAGCGAACGTTTAAAATTCACTGTTATAGACACTTCATATTGTAGGCTGCTAGAAATTCAGAACACAATATTTAGCGAAGAGACTCTTTTCAACGAAGTTATTATCAAGCTGTACAATCGTATATATTCGGTTTTTGAAGAATTATATGCAGTGAGGGAATTAGATTAAAGGTATGAATATATGAAATAATAATAGCATGAAATGCAATTAAAATGTTTGTGATTATAACCATTGTTAAATATCAAGTGGCAAAACAATTAGTGTCGTATATATAATAATTCATAGGATGTATAGATGTTGGAAGGGGGTGTATAACTATATGGTTAGTAGGTTAATATAGAACGTTACGTAACACTGTGTGAAATTTGATGAGATAGAATTCGATATTGTAAAGAAAATTGGATTTACAATGACAAGTGGGACAAATGGAAACATTTCAAGGTGAGAATAATAATAATCGTAGTAGTGACGGAAAGGTATATAGATTAACTAAATAAAAATAAATAAATATCTATCCCTCTAAAACCAAGGCAGAAGTAGGGATTGCACATACTTCTTTTCTACACAAAGATCCGGCTTAAATTTATGAATGACAAAGACCTCTGCTATCTTTAGAAGTTTCTAACGAAAAAAAACGCCGCAAGTTAGCATGGATTTCATAGATGACCTTAAAAGCATGGTCGGGGACAGTAGAGTGACAGAAGTCGATCAAGTGTTCTAGAATAGAGCTTCGCACAACCTTCCTTTCTGCCTTGTAAAACCATACTGGAATATGTTCTTGTATCCGTGAGGAAAGAGCTTTCTAGGTAGAAATCAGTTACAAGGTAAAAATCAACTGGTTCGTGTTCTACGGGATATACTGACCGTATGACTTTCGCAGTTAGACATATCATCCCATCATCACTAATATCCTTCCTTATGCAAAATGGCCCATTTGTAATGCAGATAGATCTTAGTATGGCTGAAAACTTATTTATTTATTCATTTGACTTTTGTTTATTTTTTTTTATTTACTGGACTGGAGCTTGGATATTTCGTAAATAGGTAAGGTTCATAATAAACACGGGTTCATTACAAGATAAATTTCAACACAAGATGCAAAAAAGAGTTTTCCTACAGGGTCACTGGATTATTATCAAAACAGTTCTGCTTATTCATAAATGTGTATTACAAACTTGACATCTGACTAATAACAGAAGAAAGTCTCTCTGATGATCAGTGTTATGATGGTACTATTCACTGGACTTATATTATTTGTCTTCCTATTCAACTAGACACTAGTAACCTCTGAAGGGAAGTTTTGTCTCCGAATCTAGTAGAACATCAGTTGTTATTGACTTAAAAATGAGAAACTGTGACTTTCTTGAACAGTGTACGGCTTAAAATTTCATGAAAATATTCAACCTTACAGATTTATGAAACTCAGTAAGTATTTTAAGCTTATAAAATAAATAATAGTTGTAATATACAGAATGCCTAAGCTGCAGTTATAATGAAATGAATGGGTGTTCAGTTGTTGTTGGTGTCATCACAATTTACAACCAACGCAATGCACTTCAGAATCACTCATATCCGTGGTTCCCAAGCAATATGAGAGAATTGTCAATGTTCAGATAATTGATTTAAAATACATATTTGAGGGTGTCTTGTAAAACAAAGACATACACACACACACCTTTGTACTCTTCGCTACACTTGAACACCTAGGGTTATTATCTAAATTTTAATTTAGTGAAGTTATTCATTCACGAGTAATAATAAAAATGCATAAATAGTTTTGAAACAACAACAGGGATTACATTCATTTAAATTAACTGCGAAATTCTCTTTACCATGATTTAATTCTAACTAGGTATTGATTCATGTACAATTGGTGGATGGTGGCTAGCAGTGGAATCCAGGATGCGCATTTCGTCCTAATTGGGACTCGTCAGCTGGATGTACCTGCATTTCTCAGTGAGTGATGATGTTCCCACCAAGGCTCGAACCCAGTGCCCATAGTTTGGCGTTTGAAACTATGGGCACTGGGTTCGAGCCTCGGTGGGAACATCATCACTCACTGAGAAATGCAGGTACATCCAGCTGACGAGTCCCAATTAGGACGAAATGCGCATCCTGGATTCCACTGCTAGCCACCATCCACCAATTGTATACAAATCAAATCCCCAGACATCGTCGAAGCATCTGCACAAGAAGCCGACATGTCAACCTGAGACCGAGCACTTCGGTCCAATCAATCGACGGGAAAATCAAAAATTCAATTCAATAGGTATTGATTCAGCCTGAAAAAACAAGGTTACTCAAAATTCCATTAAGCATAAAAGCATGAAGGCCATTGTAAGTTCATCACATTTACAGAAATCAGGTTTCGCTTATTAGACAGTGAAAGCGTTGAAAGCCCAGAGGAAAACTGACTCATACCAGTAGTAAATAAATGCGAGCATATAGAAAAATGTACAACTTTTCCTTTCATTAGCATTGACTATATTTAACTGTGTTCTGTATCCCTTCGTTCATGGATAACAAAAGTGTATCCTCGCCAAGTAACCTTCCTGCTACTGTAAAACTTATGTACTGGTAACTATTCATACAAGCAATAAGACCTTATCTTAAATTTATAGCCGTGAAATGTAACTGCTATTACAATTCTACTCTAAGTTACATATGAAGTTTATTGTAGATATTCTTACGTAAGTGGTAAATCCAATATTCATGGAGTGTACATTCAGCTGTCTCTAATCAAGTTGTGATAATTACATATCATGAAAATGACTGTATGAACTATAAAAATTTCTTTCCAAAACGGCATAACATTACTCAATAGAACTTACTCAATACAGAAAGGTTTATAACTGTGAAGACAGTAACGCCAATATGAATTTGACACATAAATTTCAACTGGTGTCAATTCTTTTTAATTTCACATTGAACAAATAAGTGGTCACAAAATTCATAAATAAGCAAACTAGCTTTTAATTTAGATTCATCAGTGAATATATGGAAAGAAAGCCAGTTTTTGGTAGTGTTACGATTTCATTGGCGATGTTTTCAACCAATCAAATTCACTGAGCCAACGAACAAATCATTGTTTGACTTTTAGCCAATTTGAAAGAAACTCAGTACTCCCAGGTTTTCCAGTGGTTCTCTAACTGATGTCAGCTCATGATCAAATCCTGCATGCAATCAAACTCAATATTATCAAAAACGTGCTCGGTATGATACCAATTTCATAATCATGTTTTATGTTGACGAAGGTCCATTTGGGTATCCAGTAATAAAAACAGTAATAATAACTTTATGTACATATTACTTTTAATACAGTGTGTAATTCTCAGTATGTAGAGTGAAAATGCATCTAATATTCTCTTTATATAACATAGTGAGTGGAAAATAATTACATAAATAATAGTAATAACAATATATAAGTGAAAGCGTGTATACAGTTCAGTGACAGAACATCTGGTCAATTCAGGACATTCAGCGCCTTTCGAAAAATCCTTCAAAGCAATATTCAAGATTCAATCAAACCTATCAAAGGGAGTCAAATTCAGACATCTGGGTATAGCGAGGCATTAGCTATCCAAAAGCTCAAACCCACGCTTTGTATCCAAAAGAAATACGTTTAACCTTTGTCGCTGCCATTGCCATCATGAATAGGTAGTGACCATCCCATCGCCTTTCTTATCTAAACTTCCTGTTTATTCATGTTATTTTAAGTCTTTCTTAATCCCTGTTTATACTACCATATTTCCATATCAGAACTTCCTGTTTATTTTGTCATTTTACTATTTCTACATATTTAATCCCTGATTGCATAAACAATTATTCATCACATTAGTTTTTATCCAAATATCCTGTCTGTTTTAGTATTTCTGCATTTTTAACCCCCAAATGCACAATTTCAATCTTCTTAGTTATTATGATGATACTTTGTTTGAGTTTAATCTGTCCCCCTGTTTATTATGGCATTCTAATGCCTAATTGTAATTTTTATTAATTTGCCCCTTAACCGGAAATTATTCTGGTACTTTCCTATCCATTTGATATAAATACACGAATGTGCAACCCAGATGATGACTTCGTCGAAAAGAAAATTTTCTTCGCTGAAATTGTCTTCTTGTTAACTCCTATGACCCAATGTGTATATTCCGTGAAAAATTAAATTGTAAATTATTATAAATAACACTAACAATACATCAATCAAAGGAAACATGGAGAGAGTTTTGCCTTTATTTTCCTCTTTACGAGTTGATCACGGACTGAAATCAGCTAGAGAACCATTGAAAGCCAGCGCTGGAGTACTGGACAGCTAGCTGTTTCATTCTAGTTTTGGGAATCATCGGAAGTATGCACCCACTGACAAGGTTCGAACCCAGGACCTTCCGGTTACAAGGCAAGCTCGTATACCATTCAGCCACTGAGACCCGATTCAATAGTCAATTATAACTTCTACCAATTCGTGATTTAGCGCCACCCCAGCTATCATCGTAGGTGGGACATCCATCCTCCCACGTGACATTTGGATGGATCTCACTGGTCACGGCTTCTGCAGTAAATTAGTAGTTCCATATCTCAGACGTTTTTCATTACATAAAAAGCATGTCAAGTAAGGCATCGTTGACTCTGGCCTGCAGAAAGTCTTGTATAATTTCTTATTATCCTACCTGATGAAATATACTATTGTTTCTTTCCATTCCAAGATGAACATAGAGCTTAAAACTTGAGCTTTGAAGTTTCACTGACAGTGGTATTTTTCGCAGAGTAGGCTTGCTAGCATCACGTGCAACCGTCCCTCTTTACCGAGTTTATCACCGGTTTAGTTAGGTTGAGGAGTGCGTTGGCCGGGATTTGAACGTTTGAACACCACAGCAGAAACACCAACGCATAACATGAAGAGGTGCAAGGGGATCATTGAGATCAAAAAGAGAGTCCAGTAAGATGACCCTCGCTAATTTCTTCCATCAATTCAAATGTCTGCCAACAATGATATCAACAAGTTGACTTTACTAATAGCTTTTAGCGTTCTCCACAATGTAACAAAGTATTTTTCATGTATCGCAGAGACAAATAAAGGGGATTAATAAAGAAGAATAAGGAATACACAAAAGTTAACAAACTGTAAAAGTAGAGGTTGAGTGACTCCAGAGTATCTTTACTTCCTCAAGTAGGAAGTTAGGAATAATACTGCCTGGAACTCAACAGGATGAGAATCTATCAGGGAAGGAGGACCTACAACAATTCATATCGTCAGTCCTTGACAGCGGCCATAAGTTTATAAACACCAAACCAAATGGAAGGTCGATACTAAGCAAAAAAAACACTATAAAGAGCTGAAGGACTTAATAAACAACGAAGAGATCATTCTGATACGCCCTGATAAAGGTGAGGTGAACTGTAGTCACGAGTCGTGAAGGCTACATAGTAAAATGCTGGCCATCCTATCCGACGAGTCCAAATTCACAAAACCTTCCAATGAAAAGAACAGGACGGAGCAAATTGAAAAAAAACTAACAGATATTCTCAGAAAACTTAAAATTAATCATTCATAAACGCTGAAACCTTGGAATTGCTAAGGCCACCTGGCTAAAATACACCCCGATTTTATGGATAACCGAAAGTGCACAAGAAATAAATATCTTCTCGACCCATTCGCGATATCACCATTTCAACTTATCATCACACTGCCCAATGATTAGTAGACAAAATAAAACCAGTCAGAGGGCAAATTTCCTGCCACTCACCCCAAGATTCCTTCAATTTTGTCAGTTTCATTGAAAACGTCAGTGTTTCTTACCAAACCGTGTCCTCACTAGATGTGGTATCAATGTTTACGAACGTCCCAGTAATTGAAACATTGTGATATATATTTGATAATATTGATTCAAAGGGAATAAACATTGGTATACCCGTTGAATATTTGAAGGAACACTTATGGACATGTATACCCTAAACGTTCAATTCTCTTTCAATAACGATATATATAGACAAAATGATGGTGTAGCTATGGGATCACCACTTGGTTCGTTGCTTGCAGATTTTTCAAATTAAAACTAGAAAACACACATCTAAAGAAAATGATTGACACATTTGGGTTTTACAGGAGATGCTTGGAAGACACCTTCAGCATCTTCAACAATGAGAAGAATTCGGAGAACATCCCGGACTTATACACAAGCAACCATCCAGAAATTTAGTTCACACTAGAGAAGGAATCTGGCACAAAAATGTCTTTACTGGAAATCCAATTAACAGGACGTGAACAAGACTGTTATGTTGCTGCTGCTGAGTGGTTAATAGTAGTTTTCCCCGTCGCCAAATTGTTATGTACTCGTCGCGAAATTATTGTTATGTACTGGTCGAGAATTTAATAGTCCTGACGCAAGAAGGCGGAAATCAGAAGACCACTAGGTTTGCGATGATACTTCTATTTTCCAAACACAAGGAGAAGCAATAAGTGGTATCACACCAAAGTAAGTCACAAAATTGTGAGAGCGAAATATATGAATGTCCACAAGTGTGAACAATCATTAGACAGTCTTAACATGAATGGCTAATTATAATGAAGTATCGATCCATATATACATAGCGAAATATAGCAGACATGTCAACAACCACACATATAATATGGATATATGTCACCAAGCAACGGACTGTCAACAAACACTCATATTATATTATATATAATATAAGGAGAATATACATTGTTAAAGGAGACAGGTTCATCAAGGTGAAATGGTCACAGACTAAGCGAGCAAACAGAAAGAGAGATCACCATACACACACATATATATATATATGTATATGGATACATATCACCTCCCCTTTTGAGAAGATTGATGATTAGTAGGATGTTTTCCTGGGGGTTTATCTGGAACCTTTGAGCTTGTTGTTGACGTCTGTCGTTTCGTCTGCCTGTTGGGTTTGCGGCTTCGGCTTCGTCCGGAATTGTCTGACATTTTATGCTTCTTGACTGCATTGCATAGCGAATTTAGTGGGACATCAGCCAGATGCAAACGATCGAACCAATCAAGTCCCAAAAGATTTAAATCACTCTTGGTGACGTAGCAAATTCCTGTGAATTTGGTATTGCGGAAGGAAACAGAACATTTGAGTTCACCCATTAGTTTGAGCCGCCCACCACAGGCGCTGAGAAGAGTCTGGGAAGTATTTGTGATAGGTGGTCTGCCAATATTATTCCAAAGTTTCTCTGATATAACAGTAATATCAGAGGCGGTATCTAGCTGCAGACGTGTATCATGACCATTCATCTGAAGATCAAGATATTTCCGCATACCTGGTGTTGTGACTTGACAGGTTGCGCGTAGACTCAATGATCTTTTTGGAGATTTAGGACCAACAGTTTGTCGAGCTTTCGCTGGATTATGATATCTGGGTTTGCGTGGCTGACAAAAACCATTTTTATGACCAATGATTTTGCACTTGCTGCAACGATGATTTTTGTATGGGCAAGACTTTACAAAGTGCCACGCGCCACAATGCCAGCATGGTGATGGTGGGGTCTTCTTTGCAGTATTTTGTGAAGTTGGACGAGTATGTGTAGATTTCCGCGGAACATTAGAAGAAGGTGGGTCAGGACTGGATGATGAGAGATTTTTGCTCTTTCGTAATGCATGAATATCAGAGCTTCTCGAAGGTGTTGATTCGACCAGGTGTGTGTCTTTCTGCAAATTAATCAGCCGTTGATATTCATCAGCTATGTCATGTAATGTTAACTTAGGATTTTGTTCTAGCTGATTGAGCAGTCGAGTTCGGATATCTGTGAAACGAGGAGATTGAAGACTGCATATGAGAATCAAGGCTTTGAATTGATCATCTGTTAAGGACCTGAGTCGAAATCTCTCACATTCTCGGTTGACTGTGCCAACGTG